AGGGCGGGGGGTGATGGGGCACAGCCCCGGCTGTGGGGTGCAGAGCCCGGAGCCGGGGGGAGGCAGCCGGCAGCCCCTGGGGAGCCGGGCTTCACCTTGGACGCGGATGCTGAACTTGCAGCTGGCTCGGTTGTACGCCTGGTCGTGGGCTGTGTAGCGGATCACAGTCTCTCCTTCGGGGAATTCGGAGCCGGGCTCCGGGCCCCGCAGCATCACCCTGCCCCCAGCAGATGGGTTTCTCTGTCAGGGCCCCGGGAGGGGTCACCCAGCGTGGCACCCCCAGTCCTCGCCGGCAGTGCCCGCAGCACCTTCGCCCTCACCTCTTGATGATGCCATCAGCAGAGTCCTTCACGCCGCGGTAGACGGTGGCGGTCAGCTTGCCTGGCTCAGCTATCCGCTCCCGGGAGTCCGGGCAGCGGATTTTGGGAGGCTCCAAATCTGCCCGCAGGGAGGAGAGGATATCGGGGAACCTGCGGGTGCCGGGACGGGGCTACGAGAGCCAGGCACCGGTCCCGGCGCTCAGCCGCCCCAGGGATGTTGTGCGCAGCCCGGGCACCCCAGAGCCAGCAAGACCAGCACTGGGTGCCCCAATCCTGGACCAACATGCCCTGCACCAGCCCGTGCTTCGGGGCTAACGGCACCTCAGGGAGCAGCAGGGACAGGAGTCCCACTGCCACAAGGTGCAGGAGCCGGCACCCAGCGATGCCCGGGTCAGATGAGGGGGTGATACCTGCAGGCACCCCAGGGATGGAGGGGGCCCTGCCCCTGTGTGCCCCAGCAGCGTGGGGCTGGGAGGATGGCAGGGTGAGAATTTACCTACACAGATTGGCTCGCTCCCGCTCCAGCGCCCGTCTTCCATGCAGATACGGCTCCGGTCACCCTCCAGCTGGTAGCCGGGCAGGCAGGTGTAGTCGCAGCGGGAATCCATCTGCACGCCGGCCGAGCACACGTAGGAGCCCCGCAGCACCGCTGGCAGCACGTGGCAGCGGATTTCTGGGATGCAGAGAACAAAGAGGGGAGGGAAGCGGCTGCCCGGCCATGCTGGTGGGCAGAGCACCCCCGACTGGCCACCC